GTTTATTAACGTCCATCTTTCGTTACCTCCCTCACCCACCTTGTCAACTCCGTAATTACTTCCTCTTCTGTCAACCTCAACAAACATCTCGCCCTCGCCGTGACCAGTCTCACTGGCTTATCGTGTCTGCCTCCTATCTCAGCCTGCCTCAAAGCAACCTGGCCTTTCCAAAGTGTTGATGTCTGTGCAACGGGGCCACGAGCTTCCGCTGACCGTCAATCAAAGCACCTGTGCTCGTCCTTCCTTCTCCTGGCTTATCTAAGTGACCCTTGGCTTTCGGTAAAATAGTTCCTCAAAAAAGGATACCTTTAGGCTGGCACCACGGCTCACTAGGCTAATCTTCCACCTGCAGCACCCGCACACCGGGTTCTAGTCCCGGTCGGGGCGCCGGATTCTGTCCCGGTTGCTCCTCTTCCAGTCCAGCTCTATGCTGTGGCCCGGGAGTGCAGTGGAGGATGGCCCAAGTCCTTGGGCCCTGCACCCGCATGGGAGACCGGGAGGAAGCATCTGGCTCCTGGCTTCGGATCAGCACGGTGCACTGGCCGCAGCGTGCCAGCCACAGCAGCCATTGGGGGGTGAACCAGCGGAAAAGGAAGACCTTTCTCTCTGTCTCTCTCTTACTGTTCACTCTGCCTGTCAAAAAAAAAAAAAAAAAAGGAATAATTGTAGTGGGGCCAGTGCTGAGGCCTAGTGGATAAAGCTGCCGCCTGCAGTGCCGGCATCCCCTATGGGCACTGGTTCAAGTCCTGGCTGCTCCACTTCTTTTTTCCTTTCTTTCTTTTTTTTTTTTTTTTTAAGATTTATTTATTTATTCTAAAGGTAGAGATATGGGGGGGGGGGGAGAGAGAGAGAGAGAGAGAGAGAATGAATCTTCTATCCAGTTCATTTCTCAAATGGCTGCAATGGCTGGAGCTGGGCCAGGCCGAAGCCAGGAGCCGGAAGCTTCCTCCATGTCTCCCACAAGGGTGCAGGGGCCCAAGTACTTGAGCCATCTTCAGCTGCTTTCCCAAGTCATAGCAGGGAGCTGGATCAGAAATAGAGCAGCCGGGACTTGAACCGGTGCCCATATGGGATGCCGGCACTGAAGACAAAGGCTTCACCTGCCACACCACAGCGCTGGCCCTGCTCCACTTCTGCTCCAGCTCCCCTGGAAACAGGAGATCCATAGGCTTTTGCCCAGTGAGGACAGTGGGTTAAGTTGCCTCTCCAACGCCGGCATCCCATATGGGCACCAGTTCTTGTCCTGGCTGCTCTGCTTCCATTCCAGCTCCCTGCTGATGTACCTGGGAAAGCAGCAGGTGACAGCCCAAGTGCTTGGGCCCTGCACCCATGTGGGAGACCGGATGGAGCTCCTGGCTGCTGGCTTGGTCTGGCCCAGACCTGGTTGTTGCAGCCATTTGGGGAGTGAAGCAGGGGATGGCAGATCTCTCACTCTGAAAGGTGGGCAGCTTTCCTCAGCCCTGGGGCCTGACTTGCACAGATCCCAGGCTCTTGCTGTCCCTGCTGCCTGTAACTTGGGGGGTGGGGGCTCAGGCCTGCCTGCACTCTACAAAATCCCCACAGAGAAAACAAATCTTGGACCATAATAAAAATCAGTCCCAAGTAGACTGAGTTTACTTATTTATTATCAAAGCTTTTTTTATTTATTTGAGAGGAAAAGTTACAGAGAGAGGGACAGAGATAGAGAGGTCTTCCATCTGCTAATTCAGTCCCCACATGGCTGCAATGGCGGGAGCTAGGCCAGGCCTAAACCAGGAGCCAGGAGCTTCCCCTGGGTCTTCCACGCAGGTGCAGGGGCCCAACGACTTGGTCCATCTTCCACTGCTTTCCCAGGCCATTAGCAGGGAGCTGGATATAAGTGGAGCAGCTGAGACTGGAATCAGATCCAATATGGGATGCCAGTGCCGCAGGCGGAGGGCCATAACACTGGACCATAACTACTATGCCATAACACTGGACCCAAGTTTGTTTGTTTATTTATATTTTTAAAATTCCAGCCAAAGGCAGGAACCTAGAATTGTATCTGGGTCTCCTATGTGGGTGGCAGGGGCCCAGTACTTTCTGCTGCATTCCCAGGCCATTAGTAGGGAGCTGGATCAGAAATGGAGCAGCCAGGACTACAGCCATCACTCCCATATGCGTTTCTGGTGTCACAAGTAGCAGCCCAACCCAAGGCACCACAATGCTGGCCCCAGATTGTAAATTTAAAAGGAAAGGCACGTCGTGTGTCATTCGGGAAATGCAAGCTGCAGTCACACCACAGCACCACACACCTACCACCAGGCCAGGGCCGAGTTACCGATGCCACCAGTGCTGGCAAGGGCTGGGGCAACGGGAGCCTTGCTCTTTGTGGGTGGGGATGCAGAACAGCACAGTCACTCTGCGAGAAGCTTGGCAGCCACAAACCTGAGCATGTTCTCATCACAGCTTCCAGCAGTCACACTCCCGCTATTTAACCAAAGGAGTTAAAGAGCTAGGTCTGCGTGTGGATGTAGACATCTGCTTTGTTCACAAACCTGGAGGCCCGAGAGAGGCCATTCAGGAGAACTGGGGACCGTGGCGGCCTCGGACCAGGGAGCACTGCTCAGCACTAACAGGAAATGTGAACTGGGGACGGTGGCGGCCTCGGACCAGGGCGCACTGCTCAGCACTAACAGGAAATGTGAACTGGGGACGGTGGCGGCCTCGGACCAGGGCGCACTGCTCAGCACTAACAGGAAATGTGAACTGGGGACCGTGGCGGCCTCAGACCAGGGAGCACTGCTCAGCACTAACAGGAGATGTGCACAGAGGAAACGTCAGCTCCTAACAAGAGGCTGATCTGCAAGTATGAACCCAACCACAGGAGATTCTGAAAAACGTGGAACTGTGGAGACAGCAAAAGGCCAGGGATGGCAGGGGCTAGTGGGAGGGAGGGACAAACCGGCAGAGCCCGCCGGGAAACTGCTGGCCAGCACCCCACGGCAGTGGTCATGTGTCCTTCTTGTGCAGACGACACAACAGCAGTCCCTGCGTGTCCCGTGCACCTGGGAGATGACGTGCGTCCGGCAGGCCCATCACCCTGACAAGGCCCCACTCTCCTGGGGGTGTTGACAGAGGAGGTGACTGTACGAGTTCTCTGTACCGTCTGCTCAGTGTTGTTGTGAAGCTAAAACTACTCTAAAAAATAAAGTCTACTGGGAAAGACAGGGAGCTCGAGGATACACCGAAATCCCCAACCTTAGCGGCAAGAAACAGAAAGCACATTCAGAGGAGGATTCACAGACAGCAAGAAAGGACATGAAACGCCGTTCACCACCTCCATCCACGGCTACCAAGCGGGCAGCTGACCTCGAGGGTGACCACCGCACCAGTCGCTGCCAGGCCGTGGGAGCCCAGGCCACTCCCGCTGCAGCCCGTCAGGACGCCGCTCGTCGGTGCCTTCCAGACGGAGCGTCTCTGCCACACTCATCAGGCTGCCGGGCATCCACACACGGCGACGCGGTGCCGCTGTCAGGCAGAGCGGCCGAGACACTGTCTGGGACGCCCCCGTCCCACACTGCACTGCCCAGTTCAAGTCTTGGCTCCTTTGCTGTCAGTCCAGCTTCCTGCTAACGCACACCCTGGGAGACGGCAGGCGATGGCTCATGGACTGAGGTCCCTGCTACCATGTGGGAGACCCAGACTGAGTCCCAGGCTCCTGCCTTCAGCCTGGCTGACCCTAGTTGCTGTGGACATTTGGAGAGTAAACCAGTAGCTGGAAGATCTCTTTCAGACAAAATGAAAACACATAAAAATCCTAAAATCCATTACAAAAATGGTTGTAGCAGCTTTATTTGTGATGCACCCGAATTGGAAGCGACCCAACATCCATGACTGAGTGATTAAAATGTGAAATCCTCTACACGAATGGAAAAAACCACGGCCCTTGGCGACGCCACGGTAAGGACGGCCCACTTCAGAGGTCACTCTGTCGGCTCCGTTCCCATCACACTCCTGGGATGACAGAACCGGAGATGAGGCAGAGCTCACGACTGCCAGAAATAGGATGTTGGTGGGCGGAGCCAACTTGCAAGTGGCAGCTGGAGGGGTCCCGCAGTGGCGGGTGCCCCAGCAGCCGACTGCAGTGTTGGCAACACCAGGCGACACCTGTGTCCAAGGCACAGGACACACACGCATGTACTCATCTTTGATACTGTCAACTAAGGCGCTACCAAGATGGTAAACTTGGCAAAGGACCTGTTATAATATAATTATTCCAAAATTAAAACTTTTTTAAAAAGATGTATTTTACTTATCTGAAAGTCAGAGTTACAGAAAGAGAAGGGGAGACAGAGAGAGGTCTTCCATCCACTGGTTCACTCCCCCAAATGACTGCAACAGCCAGTGTTGGACCAGGCTGAAGCCAGGAGCCAGGAGCTTCACCTGGGTCTCCCACATGGGTGCAGGGGCCCGAGGACTTGGGCCATCTTCCACTGCTTTCCCAGGTGCATTAGCAGGGAGCTGGACTGCAAGTGGAGCAGCCAGGACATAAACCGGGGCCTATGTGAGATGCCAGCCCTGCAGGCAGCAGCTTAACCCGCTGCGCCACAACACTGGCCCCAGTAAAAACCCTTTTTTAAGAAGAGAATATGCTTACATCCACAGCACAACGTGTAGATGCGGTGGATGCACGGCCTGACCCATGCACCTGGGGAGGACTTGGAGCAACCCGACATCTGGGACCCACCACGATCTGATCATCTGCCAACGTGACCAGGAACGACTCCAACCAATCTGACCGACACCACCAGGAACGGCTGAACAACCTGCCGACGCCTCTGGGAACAGCCTGTGCATTCTCCGCAGTGCCGCCGGGATCTACACCACACAGTCTGAACAGTCTGACCAGGATCCCTGGGAACCGCTGAGGAAGCTGACCGGCATGTTCTGGAACAATTCTGAATGCTCAGAATTGACGAACGTCACAGAAACAGCCTGAACAATCCATCTGATCCATGTCCCTGGGAACAACCTGACCAGCCGCACTGGGAACGAGTGGACTTTCCTGCCCACTGTGGAATCTGCGAGGTGGACTAAGACGCGGACAATCAGACAAGGCAAGCAGCAGCTTTTACACACTAGTGCCTCCAGTGCTGTCAGTCTTCCCTCGGGCTCCGTGTCATGTTTTCTGCCACCTCTCTCAGGCAGACACGACAAGGCTTCCTGACAATTTCTCAACATCACGGCATTCATGCACTTTGGAGAAGCAACTCACCCACCCCAGAACACCGATGTCACTGTATCATGTGGCCACTTGCAAGTTCATGAAAACTTGTAATGCAAGTGTTAGGAAACCAGAACATCTTCTGATTTGGGGAAATCTGGAAAGTTCTAAGATGTTCAATTTCATGTTCTTAAGTCTCAAATTTATGCAGTAATCAGGAATTTGAAGCATTCCCATGACAAAAACCCAAAGGACTGAGTTTCCCATGAACTCAGCCTGCTGCGAGGCAGCCGATTTCTGAACAAAAACAATGGCTGCTGACTCCAGGATAGCTCGCGGGTCTGTGAGAGGGATGAGGAGGGGTCTATGGGGATGAGGGGGGCCTGGGGGCATCAGTGAGTGTGATGAGGAGGGATGCTAGGATCTGTACTCATGAACTGTCTTGGTCCCTGAGCACCTGACGCCCTCAGCCACAGGCTCCTCCCACAGCAAGGGCTGTCCAGAGTCCAGTCCTTTAGTCTGGTTCAGGGTCAAAGTGGAGGTTGCCGTTGGTCCAGAGCCCTTTTCTATCCCAGCTCAGCCTGTAGAAGAGGGTGGCTCCCGCCCTGGTAGCTAATGAGGACTGTTACTCTTTGACCCCTTAGGCCATCTGAGACACACAGGACCACCAGGATGTGCTGGGAGCCAGTTGGGTTGGATGGGCATGGGTGGGTTGCACAGGTATAGGTAGGCTGGACAGGGGGTGGACTGGATGTGCAGTCCAGTTGGATGGACACAGGTGGGCTGGATGGACATGGAGGGGCTGGATGGACACAGGCGGGCTGCATGGGCACGGGTGGCCTAACTTACCGATGGCGCAGAGGGCATGTTTCAGCTCCAGAGCGAAGGCCGTGAGGGGCACATCCTCAGACACAGGCATCGCTGCCACCGTGGACAGGTTGCCCGCCAGGCTCCCAGAGTCCCACTTGCTGCCTGTGGCGTGGAGCCCAAGCTGGTGACCTGTGGGGTGCAGGACAGGACGTCAGCCTGGGAGGCTGGGCCTTGGACTTGGGTGGCCGAGATGCTCCGGATGAGAACAGTGGTCAGCAGGGCCTGATGAACCATGGGACCTGCTGCAGGTGCCCATGGACTCCACGTACACCCTGACTGACATTGCCCGACACTGGCCAAAGGCAAACAGGTGAGATGGAGAAAGGCGCAGGAGTGCCTGCATCTGCCCAGCGGAGGACCAGCATGTGCTCTGAAGATGGGGACATGTCTACTGTCCCTTCTCTACCTACACTGGACTTCCAGAAACCCAGGGAGGCCAGGCTGGGAGGAGTGAACTCCCAGGGAGATGCCACAGCCCTGAGCCTGGGAAGGAAACTGAGCCAGCCTGAGGGGACCACGGGCCTATAAGGGTCCCACGAGGGGCTCGTTCAGACCAGCAGGCCACCGCGCGGGCTGACACAGCAGCAAGGAGCCAGGTGGGCCTGCAAGCGCCGCAGCCTCTGCCAGCACTCTCTACTCCCAGAACAAAGCCGCTCGCTGGCGAGAGGCATCTCCTGCTTTCAGGGAGGTGCTGACCTGAGCGAGCTGTGGGCCCCTCCCTGCTCCCACCCTCCTATCCTGCGACCACCCTCCTCTGCTGTCTCCTCCCCTCAGGCCATCAGCGTGGCACCAGTGTGGCACCATGCTATGGCCTGCACTCCCCGAGAGCTGCACTCCTGGTCTGTTCTTCTCACTCCTGCGAAGCCAGTTTCCAAAAACTACCAGACTTGGAGTTCCTGCTCTAGCTGGATGCTGGTCCACCACCACCTGACACAGAAGTCAGAGGGGGGCAGGGGGCAGGTGAAAGGAGCTGAGGGCCAGCGAGGAGGGAGTGAGTCGGACCAGGGCTCAGGACCCAGTGACCTGCTGCACACCATGGCTGGCAAGTCAAACACAGCGCAGGTGCCTGTTCTTGGGGAAGACAGTGCTGCGAGTGACCACAGAGCCATCGCAAGGAATGAACACACCCTCGGCGACTGGCAAGACAGATGTCGGTGAAGACACCACTCAGGACACCTGCATCCCATACTGGAATGCCCGGGTTCAAGGTTCAAACTCTAGCTCTTCTTCCAATCCCAGCTTCCTGCTAACGCACAGCTGGGAGGCAGCAGTGATGGCTCGAGTGCTTGGGTCTGCCACCCACAGGGGTGCACGCAGTGCCTGGCTCCTGGCCGTCCTGTGTGATGAGCAGTGAACTAGCAAATGGAAGATCTCTTTCTGTCTGTCTATATGTCACTGCCCTTCAAATAAATATGAATGAATGAATAATTTAAAAAAGAAACACATCGCTAACTCTGTGAATAAAAAACCCAAAGAAAAGTTTATAGATATATTTCCATTATTAAATAAACATTTAAACCCTTCCAAAGTGAAAGTGTCTGAATCCATACATAGAACTACAGACGAGGCCCAAGTGTCTCAACTCCACATTCAAGACGCAGGATGCTGGGGCTCAGCTCCCCCAGTCCTCTCTGCCTGACTGCCAGGAGCTCCCTGGGCCACGTCCTTCTCGCCGTCCACACTCACTGCCAGTCCGTCCAGCCTCTGGGTTTCTGTAGCCATCCTCCCAAGCACACGGTGGCCAAGAATGAGCCTGGACAGGGCCCCATCTGCACCAGGCCTCCAGCGCCCCCACCCGTCAGGAACACCCAACACCGGCAACCTCGGCCTGTCTGTGGTCCTTGAGAGCCCTGGTGGCTCCGGCCTGGCAACTTCCTCTCGTGCTGCAGCTCCAGCTGGGCCCGCACGGGTCGCAGGCCCCAGCTCTGCTCCTCCCAGCCCTGCCAGACTCAACCCTCAGCTCCGGGGATCGATGCCCCCACCCCCGCTCTGAGCACAGCCCCAGCAAGTGTCTCCCTGAAAGTGGAGGGCTGGGTGATGCAGACCAAGCCCGCAGCACCCTCTGCAGAGCCCGGAGCCACACTGCTCAGAGGGCCACCTGCCCCTGCCACGGTGTGGTGCCCAAGGCATCTCCCAGGGGCCAGGGTGTCCTCTCCTCTTCCAGAGGCCAGCCCTGGCCATCTCCAAGCACTGCTGCTGATGGGGGGACACGCTGAACCCCCAGTGAGAGGAGGAATCCTATCCAAGTAAGAATCAATGGAGCAAACTTAAAAACAAAGGTGAGACAAAGGACCCCACCCACCTCAGCCCACCGGAGCCCAGGCCTCAACAATGCCTGGCTCTGGCTCCTCCCACTCTCATCCTTCCCAGGGAGCTCCCGTGTCAGGGAGCTTCTTCCGCAGTTTTGCAGACTCCGTCTTGCCTTAAGAAGAGCCCCTGTGCAGGTCTGGGTCTGCAGGAAGGAGAGGGAGCGAGCACCTACCTCCTACTGCTTCGAAGAGACCGAGGCTGGCTCTGGACCCCCCGGCTCTGGGAACCTCATTCTGTAATGCACAGAACTAGCAGAGCCTCCTCCTGGCCACAGGGCTGTCAGGGGCTGGTCTGTCCCCCACCCCCCCACCCCCACCCCGCAGTGAGGGCTACTGCCTCCAAGGCTAACCAGCATGAAGCAAAGGCCAGGAAATGGGCCTCCCCACACTGGAGGCAGAGAAAGAGAAAGGAACTCCATAAACCTGCAGTGGGGGCCTGGTTCAGGCAGGAAGCCAGGCCTGGCCAGAGAGAGGCTCTCGCGCAGAAGCCAGCAGACCCAGCACCCTGGCTGAGGAAGATTTACAGGGAGTCAGAGCTGCAGAACATAATATCCAAGTTCCAGATTGCAATCCAAAATTACCACGCACACGGAGAACAAAGAAAACCCTGAGAGAACAAGGGGAGAAGCTGCAGGCACTGGCCACCACCGTCGAATCCGGGCCCCTCCCTCACTGAAGAGAGGAAAGTACAGCACAGCCCACAGCGTCCCTGGGCTCAGGCCCTGGGTCCCTCACCTCCCACAGAGCACAGCCCCACAGCGTCCCTGGGCTCAGGTCCTGGGTCCCTCACCTCCCACAGAGCACAGCACAGCCCACAGCGTCCCTGGGCTCAGGCCCTGGGTCCCTCACCTCCCACAGGGCACAGCACAGCCCCACAGGGTCCCTGGGCTCAGGCCCTGGGTCCCTCACCTCCCACAGAGCACAGCACAGCCCCACAGCATCCCTGGGCTCAGGTCCTGGGTCCCTCACCTCCCACAGGGCACAGCCCCACAGCGTCCCTGGGCTCAGGTCCTGGGTCCCTCACCTCCCACAGGGCACAGCCCCAAAGGGTCCCTAGGCTCAGGTCCTGGGTCCCTCACCTCCCACAGGGCACAGCCTCACAGGGTCCCTAGGCTCAGGTCCTGGGTCCCTCACCTCCCACAGAGCACAGCCCCACAGCGTCCCTGGGCTCAGGTCCTGGGTCCCTCACCTCCCACAGAGCACAGCCCCACAGCATCCCTGGGCTCAGGCCCTGGGTCCCTCACCTCCCACAGAGCACAGTACAGCCCCACAGCATCCTTAGGCTCAGGCCCTGGGTCCCTCACCTCCCACAGGGCACAGCTCCTGGTCAGGTATAAAGCGTATCTTTCCAGGAACCCCATGCCCCAAGCAAGTCACCACCACCTGACTCACCACAGCCCATTCTGCCATCTTCAGTCCTCAAAAGAACAAGACATCACTGTCCAGGTGGCTCTGCAGACACAACTTAGGTGTGAAGGGGGCTGAAGACAATGGGAAGTGCTACAGGAAAAGAATTCTCGTGTGATGGCACAGCAGGTCTCGCCCCTGCCCACAACCTTGTTAGGTGGGTGCCAGGCTCTCCTGGGGGCAGCTTAGAGGCGGCTGCACCATGACGCTCTGGGAGGAACTTCATCAATGCCACGCCCAGGAAGACTTCCCCAGCCATGGCCCAGAGAGGAGACGCAGGGCCCACACCCACACCCACAGCAGACTGGGCCCTCAGTTCTTCCCTGAGTCCCCGCCAGGCCTGCAGGTGAATTCTCTTCCTCAAACCTTGCTACCTCGGTCACCACTACTCTGTCTTGTGTCTGAATTCTTCCTTCTGTGAAGACAAGGACTTCGGTAACAGCACTGGCCAACCGAAGCTTCCAGGGACCTCGATACACAGGAAACACGGCCCTGTAAGCTCCGCTTCTGTCCGTAGGTGCCTTTATGCTCCTGGAGCAGTCCTGAGATTCAGTGCTTTCTGCCGGCACCCAGCACCAGCCGTATGTCAGAGCAGGGACCCAGTGCTGCGGCTTCCACAGCAACCCTGCCAGCCAGTTTGCAGAGTGCTGTGTAACAGACAGACAAAATGGCGTGATTATTTGACAAGGACGGTGTCATCGCCCCAGAACCAGCAATCACGAATACTGCTGAAACAAACACAAAACAGGAGTCTCGGGGAAGAGACAGAAGCTATCGATGAGAACCAAGATCCAACAACCAGAGCGAAAACAGGGTCGGGGTGGAATCAGTGGATCTGAAGCTGACCCGCAGGCACTGCCCTCCGGCGCCAGGGCGGGAAAAGGACTGAGACACACACAGGGACCCGAGGCCCTGGGCCACCAGTGAAGGCCGAGTGCTGCGCCCTCAAACTTGCGGGAGAGGAAAGAGTGAGCAGCTACAAAGATATCTGAAGAACTAACAGCTGAGGACACCCACATCTGGCAGAAGGTGTAACCCTACAGACAGAAAAGGAGCACACTGCACACAGAATGACCCCAAGGTGCTCCTGCCCAGACACTTCCAAGTGTCTGGTGCTGAAGCTAAACACAAAGGGAGCAGCCTGGAACAGAGCCTCCAGGTCAGCGCCCGGCAAACGCCCCCCAGGACGAGGTGGAGGGCACGCCGGCTCGGCGAGCTCAGACCCGTGCTGGCACAGCTGCTGCGGGAGGCTCTGCAGGAGGAAAGGAGACGCCAGCAAGAAACCGCGGATGCCACAGACGCTGTGAGGGCTCTGAGCACACCGTGACCTAAAGGCGCCGAGGCTCCCCACTCCAGGTAAAGCCATGCGTTGCTGGTAACCGTGGACAAGGGCCCTGGAGCCAGCACTGGAAA